CAATATCCATTTCATTACCGCTCATCCATCCCTCACCAGTCTTTCCCCCCACACGGAGACGGGCCCGCTCTGCACTAAACAAATGATCTGCGATTACATTGTGTGTTGGTCGCAGCGTGACCATCACATGCCCCCATGTCTGCATTCCAAACCTCCTTGGTCTTTTCTCTGTCATGGCACAAGTCAAGCTAGGAAACCAGCTCTTCAGGGGAGGAAGGAGAGCCCCAGCAGATCAGCCTGCCCTGGTGAACGAACATAACCCCAGGGGATAGAAGGGCAGTACTGAGATGGGCCAGTGAGACTGCAAGCGAGGAGCGCTGAGAAGGGTGTGGGGAAGAAAGGGATTTTGGGGGGGGCACCTGCACCTGGTGACCAATGGCTGGATTGCAGGCCAGTAGTTCTTAAAGACCCACCGGACAGTGGGATAGTCGGATGTGGGTCTTTCTCCATCTCACCCGGCGAGGTGGTTCCATTCTAACTGAATAATGAATCATCAGCTGGGCCAGAAAGGGAAGGAATGATCACTCTGTTGCTCATTGGCCTGAAAGGTGGCAGATCCCTGTTCAGACCCTTTCTCCCCATGAGGTAGAAGGGCGAATTGAACTGCAGGGGTCGGGGGGGGGGGTCTGCCACATTCCAGATGAGTACCCCAGAACTGGGCTAAAGGTTCTGAAACTGTTTTGGGTAGAGGTGCTCCTCCGGCCGTCATCTCCCTGTTCCTGGATCACTGCCACGGGCAGTTGAGGGACCCCGGAACTCCCAGCCAGTGCGGGTGCCAGGGGGACCCCGGAGCTGTCAGCCACTGTGGGTGCTTGATACTCCCCTCCCCAGTCCCGATTTTGTCACAGTTATTGTGACAGGATCCCCAGGGTGCAGCCTGGGACTGTGGGACCACTGTGCCTTCTTAACTCTCTCCAGCCTGGGCTGTCTCTCACAATGCCCTGCCAGTGACCGGCAGCAAACCCCTCCAGGCGCTGTGATCACTCAGCACAACAGCATATGGAGCCTGTGTCTGCACCCCATCTCCGCTGGCCTGCCCATCAAGCCTCCTGCCCACCCAGTCTCCGTGCGGTATTCTCCTCTCAACAGCTTGCTGAAACCGGTGGCTCCTACCCACTACCCAGGTTCAGCTGCCCCCCTGCTCTCTCTCTGCTGCTGGGAGTGGGGCAACCCCAACATGAGAGGAAGCAGAGAGGCAGCATTTGCCTCTGTAACAGCACCTCTAGGGCCTAGGAGGAAGGAGCCATGGTGAAATCCCTGCTCAACCCCAGCACAGAGGCAGCTCCCATCCCTGGGGCCCCCGGAGAGGGAAGCAGAAAATCAGAGAGGGTCCCACCCACAACAGGTTCAGAGGAACAGCCCTGTTAGTCTGTATTCGCAAAAAGAAAAAGGAGTACTTGTGGCACCTTAGAGACTAACCAATTTATTATGCAGGTAGGAATAGCATGTATATAAAGTCTGCTGCAGTTTCCACGGTATACATCTGATGAAGTGAGCTGTAGCTCACGAAAGCTCATGCTCAAATAAATTGGTTAGTCTCTAAGGTGCCACAAGTACTCCTTTTCTTGTTGTGTGGTATGTGGTTGTTGGTGAGTATTTGCTTCAGGTTGCGGGGCTGTCTGTAGGCAAGGACTGGCCTGTCTCCCAAGACTTGTGAGAGTGTTGGGTCATCCTTTAGGATAGGTTGTAGATCCTTAATAATGCGTTGGAGGGGTTTTAGTTGGGGGCTGAAGGTGACCGCTAGTGGCGTTCTGTTATTTTCTTTGTTAGGCCTGTCCTGTAGTAGGTGACTTCTGCTGGACAATCCCAAGAGATTTGACACTAAGTGCTGCATGCTGGGCTGTGAGGGATTCACCTCGGGGGAGACATTACTGGGAGGTGGAGGTGGGGGCTGGGTGATACTGGGCTTTGGGGGTGGCCAGAGAGTCTGTGTGGAGGAAGGGAAGGAGATCAGCCATAGCCCTGAAGGGGTCATGTGAGGTCTGTCTGTGGCTGGCTGACTCTCAGTATGATGCCTTAACCTGTCCTATGACCCCCTTCCCATGAGCTGGTTCCCCAGGAAGATCTGGGTTTGTCCGGACTATGAAGGGAGGTGGGTGTCATTTTTAGATGCTGATACTGACGCCCTGATCTTCACTTTCCTGCCAGCTTCTCTTGCTGGGGAGTGTGTCACTGAGACAGGGAAGGAATATCCCATTAGGACCCCACGGAATTGGCTCCTCTCGGCTCCTACACCCCAGTCTTTATGAGCCAGAAGGCTAAAGTGTGACTGGGGGGAAAGGAGGCTAGAAAGGCTTTGATCTGCCTGTATGGTGACTGTTCTTTGTGTTCCTGGAGGACTCCAGCATTGTCCTGAATCAGAGACTGAGATGGGGAGGCCTGGTGACAGGCAGAAGAAGGCGAGGACTGGAGAGGAAAACCTTTGGGTTGAGACAGTGGGGGTAGGGGATCTAGCAGGGGATTGTGAATATTAATCTCCACATTCCAGAACTATGGTTCAGAATTCTACAGCTCATCTGGATCCTAGTTCATTTTTCTGAGGCACAGAATCATTGTATTAAAGCATGCTAGGTTTCTGCATTGATCTCTTGTCTTCTTTAGTGCTCGTGTATGATTTTTGTTTAATGAGGAAATTCCCAGACACAAAGTATACTAGTGTGGAATTAAGGTTGAGAGTAGAGGGAAGGGATTTCCCCTTGCTAGTTATCACAAAACTCAGCAGGGTTCTACCAAATGACTCCTAGAATATTCCTGGGAGGAAAGGCCAGGCAGAGAAATGCCATCAAATTGAGGGCCGGGTGGCAGGGCCTCATGGACTCAGCCAGTTATCCCCAAATCAAGTTTTAAAAACCCAGGAAATTCAAAGAGAATTTTAAACTGAAAGGAAAAAAGAAAAGAAAGAAAGATGTACTAAGGAAAGTATGGAATAATCCAGTGTGACTTCAAAATCAGTTTACTCCATTTGAGCTCCACCACTCATTTGTGCCACACAGTTATTTCTGGAGAAGCATCCAAGAATTCCTGACTGCTGAGAGCCCTTGTCGGACTACAGGAAGATTGGGGGAGGAAGGGTCAAAGGGTCAGATCAGCCCAAGACAGGGAAGGGGTGTCCCAATTCGAGATTGCAGCTCCGTCTCACAGCTCCCACAGCCAGAGAATCCCCAGGAGTTGGCTTCACTGAAAGTCTCCTCTCTGGTCCCACAATGCACCCTTCTGCCCTCCCCCCACTAAACCCCCAAAATGGGTCCTGGTCAGGACTCTACAGTTACTCCCTCTGGAAATGATCCCCTTACGTCCACTGCTAATAACCCCCTCATGAAACTGTAACCCACACACCTCCTGGGTGTGGTGTTCTGTCCCATCTAGCGGCACCGAGACCACTTAGAGACAGAGAGATTAATGAGTCTGCTCTACTGCCTTACCTAAGGGCCATAGGCGTAGAGGCTCGTACACTAAGCTCCAGAAGCCCCAGGTTCAATTCTACCTGCCAACGAGTGGGGTCTGTCAGTGTTACAAAACCAGCAGAGATTTCCCTTCCTTCCTCTTTCATTTGTCTCTGCCCAAGTATTTCCCTCCCATTGGCCATTCCCTGCACCCAGAAAGGTTCTTCCCCCCCTCCAGTGGATGCAGACACAAAAAGCCGTGCCAGGTAACTGGCCTTATTAGCCACCAGAGGCTCTAGAAATGGAGACTAGCTTTCAGCTCCCACCCACGGACAGTGCTGATCTTGGTGGATGCTAGCCCACTTTGAAGCTCTTTGTGTATCTACAAAGGATGAAGCTGACACAAGAATCCGCTTCCACACCCTGCGTGCAACTGAGCGCCACCCCCGGGCATCTCATGTTATTCTCTGCACAGAGAGAAAAGGAGGACTTGTTAGAGACTAACCAATTTATTTGAGCATAAGCTTTCGTGAGCTACAGCTCACTTCATCAGATGCATTCAGTGGAAAATACAGTGGGGAGATTTATATACATAGAGAACATGAAACAATGGGTGTTACCATACACACTGTAACAAGAGTAATCACTTAAGGTGAGCTATTACCAGCAGAAGAGCCCGGGGTGGTGGTGGCCAGGAGGGACTTTTTGTAGTGATAATCATGGTGGGCCATTTCCAGCAATTGAGAAGAACGGCTGAAGAACAGTGGGGGGTGGGGGGAGGAATAAACATGTGGAAATAGTTTTACTTTGTGTAAAAAGAAAAGGAGTACTTGTAGAACCTTAGAGACTAACCAATTTATTTGAGCATAAGATTTCGTGACCTATAGCTCACTTCATCGGATGCATGAAAACTTATGCTCATATAAATTGGTTAGTCTCTAAGGTGCCACAAGTCCTCCTTTTCTTTTTGCGAATACAGACTAACACGGCTGTTACTCTGAAACCTGTCGTTACTTTGTGTAATGACCCATCCACTCCCAGTCTTTATTCAAGCCTAAGTTAATTGTATCCAGTTTGCAAATTAATTCCAATTCAGCAGTCTCTCGTTGGAGTCTGCTTTTGAAGTTTTTTTGTTGAAGAATTGCCACTTTTAGGTCTGTAATCGAGTGACCAAAGAGATTGAAGTGTCCTCTGACTGGTATTTGAGTGTTGACGTCTGATTTGTGTCCATTTATTCTTTTACGTAGAGACTGTCCAGTTTGTCCAGTGTACATGGCAGAGGGGCATTGCTGGCACATGATGGCATATATCACATTGGTGGATGTGCAGGTGAACGAGCCTCTGCTAGTGTGGCTGATGTGCTTAGGCCCTATGGTGCTGTCCCCTGAATGGATATGTGGGCAGAGTTGGCAACGGGCTTTGTTGCAAGGATAGGTCCCTGGGTTAGTCTGAAACCTGCAGAGAGAGAAAGGGGCACTTTCCTGCCCAGCCCCCTGGGTGGGGGAAGGGCTCTGTTTAACCCAGGCTCATGTTGCAGCCCAGCCAGGGCTGTCCCAGGCACGGAACCGCCCCTTTCCTGTAACAGACACTGAACACGTGAACATTTCAAATCGCTGCTGAGGCTGCAGTTTGCAAGGGGCGGGTTGGCTGCAGGTGGGGTGCAGGGAGCCCGGGCCATGGCCATGGCCACAGAGGGCTCTGCGGTGGAGACCCTGCAAAGAGAGCTGGCTTGCTCCATCTGTCTGGAGTACTTTCAGGACCCGGTGTCGATACAATGCGGGCACAATTTCTGCCGAGCCTGCATCAGCCAGTGCTGGGAGGGATCGGGTAGAAACTTCTCCTGCCCCCAGTGCAGAAAAACTGCCCGGAAAAGAAACTTCAGGCCCAACAGGGAGCTGGCGAGAGTTATCGAAATAGCCAAAGGGCTGAGTTTCCAGGCAGCCACAGGCTCGGGAAGGTGTGAGAAACATCAGGAGGCTCTGAAACTCTTCTGTGAAGAGGATCAAACCCCCATCTGCGTGGTTTGCAGAGAGGCCCAGGCTCACAGAGCTCACCCGGTGGTTCCCATCGAGGAGGCTGGCTTGGATTACAAGGTAAGGAAGCTCTGTCTAGGGCTAGAGAGTTTGTGCCTCGTTTTATTTGTTTGAATAGCACTGTTATTTCAGGGGATAAAAAGCAAGAGTCACATAGTCCTTCAGACACAGGACTTTGAGACTAAACCCTCCCAAGGCAAAGAAAATCTCACACACCAAAATACTTCAACCCACTCAAACCTTTTCTCTTGGTTCAGGAACAAATCCAGACCCGCCTGCAGACCCTGAAGGAAGAGAGGGCAAAGCTTCTGGGATTTAAAGAGACTGAAGAGGGGAGATGCCAGCAGCATCTGGTAGGTGCCTGTTGTTACGCAAGCAGGGACATGGATTTGGGGGGCTCTGTGTCTGGGGGAGTGTCACTCTGTGAACAGGGGAGGTAATTGTTGGTGGAGCTTGGCTGCCTGTGTGTAAGATGGTAACTTCTGAACACTGCTTCTGATCCATGCTAAAATTTCAGGGGATGCTCTAGGCCAGACCCCTATAGATTTGGAGGACAACTGGGACATTCAAAGAGGGGGCAAAATGGAAGCCACCCTCATCTGTGGATGGCCCTTGTTAACACATTGCAGTATAACAATAACTCTGCTCATCTTCCCAATAGAGGGTAACTGTGTTCACACCCTGAATTACAAAAGGAACAATTGCTGTCCCTGGTGGGGGGGAGCCATGGGGCGGGTACTTAGCCTGCAGGGGAAGCCAGAGGAAGGGGAGAGAGACAAAAGACCCCTCTGGCATGGGTGTGGGGTGGGGGATCGGGTCCCTGGCATGATGGGGTGAATTGGAGACCCTGTTCTGTGTGGGGAAAGGGCCCCTGGTGTGGTGGGATGAATTGGGGATTCAGCTGGGTGGAAAAAGGAGCCCTGGCATGGTGAATTGGGGACCCTTCTCTGTGAGGGGAGTGGAAGGCCCCTGGCATGGTGGCCAGAATGGGGGACCCTGCTGTGTGTGGGGGGGGGAATAGGGCCTCTGGCTTGGTGAGAATGGGGACTGTACTGTGGGAGGAAGAGAAAATGGGGGTCATAGAATATCAGGGTTAGAAGGGACCTCAGGAAGTCATCTAGTCCAACCCCCTACTCAAAGCAGGGCCAATCCCCAATTTTTGCCCCAGATCCCAAAATGGCCCCCTCAAAGATTGAACTCACAACCCTGGGTTTAGGAGGCTAATGCTCAAACCACTGAGCTATCCTTCCCCCCAAAACTTCCACTAACTTGTGAAAAACTTACTCGCTTCGCCCAACATGGGGCTCGAACCCACAACCCTGAGATTAAGAGTCTCAAACAAGACTCTGTTTGAGCCCGGTTTCGAACCGGGATCCTTTCGCGTGTGAGGCGAACGTGATAACCACTAAATACAGAAACCACTTAAAATATAAAAGAGGGCTCGTCTAGGATTTGAACCCGGGACCTCTCACACCCAAAGTGAGAATCATACCCCTAGACCAACAAGCCATATAATCACATCACCTGTGTCTTTGCATGTCTCTCTCTGTGGGCTGGATTGTGGCAGTGACTCCCTGCCCTGTGCTGGGGCAGGCCCAGGAGAGGGGCCATGAGCACTGGCCAGTGCATGCATAGGGCCTTGGCCCTGCTTCCTTCTTCCCCTGTCACTAGGGCCACCAGCCTGGAGCTGTCCTGGCAGGTCTGCAAATGTGGCCTGTCCCACACATAAGAGAGAGGCCCATTTTTCTCCTCCATCACATGCCCCTTATGCACCCTGATGGGACCTGTCTCAGTCGGGGGTCCGTGTGTCCCCATTTGCACATGGCTGGCTCTGTGTTTGAGTGTTGGAAGATCAGAGTTTTCCTCAGAACTTCCAAATTCTTTTGTCCCCCTCCCCGCCCTCTCACTAAGCCTCTGCCAAGGTCACTGTGAGTCCTGCCCTTCCTGCCACTGGAAAGGACTCAGATGTGCAGACCCCCTTTTATCCCAGGACAGAAGGATCGGGTCAGATATGAGGCTGCACCAGTCAGAGTCACCAGGGTCAACTGCAAGGCTCTAGGAACCCTGGGGAGAGTAGCAGGCAGAACATTGCTATTTCTCAGTATCTCAAGTGCTGCATGTTTCGATGTATTGATGTCGAAAGTCTCCACCCTGCTCCCAGTGTTGCCCGACTGTCCTCACATCCCTGCAATAAGACCCTGGGCTTGCCTTTTTGAGCCCAGACAAACGTTTTCCTTGTAGGTTTCAGAGTAACAGCCGTGTTAGTCTGTATTCGCAAAAAGAAAAGGAGTACTTGTGGCACCTTAGAGACTAACCAATTTATTTGAGCATGAGCTTTCGTGAGCTACAGCTCACTTCATCAGATGCATACCGTGGAAACTGCAGCAGACTTTATATACACACAGAGAATATGAAACAATACCTCCTCCCACCCCACTGTCCTGCTCATGCTCAAATAAATTGGTTAGTCTCTAAGGTGCCACAAGTATCCTTTTCATTTTCCTTGTAAAACCTCTTCCAAGAAAACATCTCTGTAAAATCTGAAATTCGCTCCACAACTAGGAAACTAAACAAAACCTCCACTTGAGCAATTTAACTGGGCAAAATGGGAAGAAAGTAAAGATCTAGCAGCACCAAATTAAAAAACAAATAATTTCAATACAATCTGGGTTTAGTTTGGTTTTTTAATTATTACTCTTATCCACGCTGGGTCCCTGAACTTCCCTTTCACCTGTTTGTTACAGAAACAGACACAAGCTGAGAGGCAGAAGATTGTGTCTCTATTTCAACAACTGCACCAGACGCTGGAGGAAAAAGAGCGACTCCTGCTGGTCCGGCTAAAAGAGCTGGACAAGATGGTTGTGAGGATACAGAATGAAAATGTCACCAAACTCTCTGAGGAGATTTCCTTTCTCAGTGAGCAGATCAGTGAGATGGAGCAGAAGTGTCAGCAGGCAGCGAATGAATTCCCACAGGTGAGAACTCTGATCTCTGCAGCGAAATGGAGATAGGGTTTTCCATTGCTTTGTATCAATCTTGATTGTAGTCCATTTTCGTGCTGTGATTTGTCAGGGTGGCAGGAGAGGCGGATAATTATGGATCTTTTAAATCAAAATAAATAAACTCTATGAAGTTGGTGATCAGACCTCTTTTGGTCCAATGTCTGGGCACCTCACAAATATTAATGAAGATCTACTCACCAGGGTCTATAGACGTTCTATCATCCCCATTTCATGGATGAGGAACTGAGGCCAGAGAGACTAAGCGATTTCCCTAAAGACATGGTCCCAAAGTCTCTGACAATGACAAGAACTGACTCTGGGTCTCTTGAACCCCATTCCTGTGCCTTCATCATAAGGCCAGCCTTTTTCTCCAGCTCTGTGTGGGCCAAGAAGGGGTCTTGGGTCAATGCTTCAAGGCAGTTGTGCTAACCCAGTGTTTCTCAAACTGGGGTCTGCGGACTCCCAGTTCGCCGGCCCCACTGATCAACTCCTGCTCCTTTCCTCAACTCCTCCCCCTCCCTCCCAGGGAGGGGAAGGAGTGGGGATGTGGCGTGCTCAGGGGAGGGGGCGGAAAGAAGCAGGGAAGAGGAGGGGTGGGGTGGGCCTTGGGGGAAGGGGTGGAGTAGGGCGGGGCCTGGGACTGAGCAGGGGTGGAGAGTCTTGGGGGTCCACAAAAATTTTTAAATCAAAATGCGGGTCCTTGGGTTGCTGAAGTTTGAGAACCCGTCAAGAGGTCTGCACTGGGATTGATGGTCCAGAGCATATTTATTCATTATTAGTTTACATTCACTGCTTTGTGCTTCAAAGGGACAGTGACAAGAAGGGGTAGAATGAATGAAGGTGCAGTAAATACACCTGAGGTTACATTGTTCATTTTCACTTTCTGATTAAAAAAACTAGAGCAACATAAGATTAACCAGGCAGACATGACATGGACTTAAAGATGGCTGACTGACAGGTTTCAGAGTAATTGTAGACAGGGAATCATCACTGAACACGTGTGTTTCTAGTGGGGTCCCTCAAGGATCGGTTCTGGCCCTATGCTATTTAACATACGCTAATGATGGGACAGTAGATGGGGAGGGCTCTGAGCTACTACTTCAAATTCTTTCCCAGGTGTCTGGCTGGTGGGTCTCGCCCACATGCTCAGGGTCTAACTGATCGACAGATTTGGGGTCAGAAAGGAATTTTCCCCCGGGTCAGACTAGCAGTGACCCGGGGGTGGGGTTCGCCTTCCTCTGCAAAGGGTCACTTGCAGGTTTAAACTAGTGTCAGTGGTAGATTCTCTGTAACGTGGAGTCTTTAAACCATGATTTGAGGATGTCAGTACCTCAGCCGGAGGTTAGGGGTCTATTACAGGAGTGGGTGGATGAGGGTCTGTGGCCTGCAACGTGCAGGAGGTCAGACAAGATGATCACGATGGTCCCTTCTGACCTAGGAATCTGTGAAAAAGTGTAACCAGGTACAGAGATTTATGTAGTGTTAGTTTTCATTATTAGCACTGTGGGACTGAACTTCTCTCTCTTTCTTCCTCTCTTCCCCTCTCCCCTCCAGGATGTCAGAAGCACCTTGAGCAGGTATGTGTTGCCTTCTCACTCCTCACTCGGGCTTCACTGTGCTGAGAAGGGTTCCAGACAAATGCATGGGGGAGGATTAAAATTCAGACCCCAATCTTCCTCGGCTGAACAAAATCCTGGGCATAGTGCTCTTCATTTAAGGCCCCATGATTAATCATCCTAAAGGCTGGGTTATTCACCTGAAAATAACTCCTTTCCCCTCCCTGGAGCTGGTCTTTCTCCACATCACAACTGAAGCATGTTAACTGGACCTGTGGGGGAAATTGGTGCCTTGACTGACACTGTTCTGAGGCTGGGATCCACAGAGCAATTCAGTCACCTGGCCTCTCAATCCAGCAGTCTTCACTATCCGAAATTCATACTGACAGGTGATGTGATACATTATATGTTATAGAACAATGAATTAGAACATAAGAATGGCCATACTGGGTCAGACCAAAGGTTCATCTAGCCCAGTATCTGTCTTCCGACAGTGGCCAATGCCAGGTGCTTCAGAGGGAATGAACAGAACAGGTGATCATCAAGTGATCCATTCCCAGCTTCTGGCAAACAGAGGCTAGGGACACCATCCCTGCCCATCCTGGCTACTAGCCATTGATGGACCGTTCTATACATTTATCTAGTTCTTTTTTGAACCCTGTTATAGTCTTGGCCTTCACAACATCCTCTGGCAAAGAGTTCCACAGGTTGACTGCAGTCTGTCTCTCTAGGTGCAAGAAGGGGAAGTCCCAGCACCCAGTGGAGATTCCTCTTGAGCTGGAGGAGTTCCTCAATGAATTCTCTCAGGGGAACAGTGTCAGGAAGACGCTGAAGGAATCCAAAGGTACTGAGGCAGGAAATGGAGCTGTAACTCTGAATGCAAGAGGGGGCGGCTCTGCCTGATCAGCTGATACGGTAAAACCAAACACCCAAAGAGGTCAGGCAGCTGGTACAATATCTGAATCAAGTGAAGATTCTGGGGAATTATCCTTTTGACTTAGCAGGAATGATATGAAGGTGATTCCTTGGTCAAGAACCTGCTTATGCTAATTATTGAGGGATGCAAAGTCTTTTGGAGGACTTAAACTCTATCGTTGTTGCCAAGGGCCCATGTTGTGTTCTGGATTCTGTTTAATTTCAATCTGGCTTTCGTAGAAATTTTCTCTAGGTGCAATTCACCCCAAACAGAGTGACCAACCTAAGGGTTTTTCCTCTCCCTCTGGGTACCTCTGCATCTTTCCTGTAATTAACCCACAGTTCTCCCCCTCTCTCTTTTCCCTGGACTCAGAGGTCTCTGTGCCCTCTTCTTAGGGGTGAGAGGGCAATCTCCTCAGGCATAGGTGCCGACAGGGCTGGAGCACCCACAAGGAAAAAAATAGTGGATACTCAGCATACACCAGCAGCCTCCCCACCCCCCATCAGCTCCTCCCGCTTCCCCCAGTGCCTCCCACCCACTGCGATCGGATCACATGCCGGAAGCGCTGGGCGGGAGGAGCCAGGGCAGGGGCACTTGCGGGAGGGGGTGGAATGGAGTGGGAGGGGGTGGGGCCTTGGGGGAAGGAGAGGAGTGGGGACAGGGCCTGGGGCGGAGCAGGGGTCGAGCACCCCCTGGCAAATGATAAAATTGGCACCTGTGTCCCTCGGTGCTGCCTCTCTAAGGCCCGGGAATAGATTGCTCTAGGAACAGGTTCATATTGTCCATATTGCGGAATACATGTGTGTGGTGGCAGAAGATCTGTTTGCATTGTCTGTGGGGGGGATGGGGGGAGGGTTTAAGAAATAGTTATGAATGAAGAGAAATAGCAGCTCCCCCGTTAAAAATAAGGCAGAGGTAGTTGGAGTGACTCTTGCGGAGCCCTGTAAGCAGAGGGCGCTGCTGGGTTCGGAGCCGGGCATGTCGCCAGGGATCGGCCGGAGGTGGTGGGGGTTGTCCCTTCTCCCCATGGCTGGGTGGGGAGGGGTCTCTCCAGCTGGTGCCTCTGACTCCTCCCGCTGTCAGATTCTTGTCAGTGTGCTGCCCCCTTCTCCTTCCTTGCTGGGGGGGGGGTGGGAGGGGATTTCCCAAACTGCAACTAAAGCTGATGCCTCCATCTGGGCATCCTCCCCTGCTCCGTCCCTGATGATGGGAGTGGGGGAGAAGGCAGAGGGGCAGCCAGAACAGCACCCTTCTAGACTGTGGCAGGAGGGGGCTGCAGTGAAATCCCAGCTCAATCCCAGCACAGAGGCAGCTGCCTGGGACTCAGGACAGCGAGGCAGGAACTCAGGGAGGGTCCCAGCGAGGATGGGGCTGCTGGGAAGTGTGAGAAATGGTCCCAGCGTCCCCCAAGACTGAGCTCTGCCTCTAACGCTCCGACTCTCTCTCCCCCCAGTGAATGTGACTCTGGATCCAGGCACAGCTCATCCCGAACTCACAGTGTCTGAGGATCGGAGAAGCGTGAGGTGGGGAGACAAGCCGTGGCAAGTGCCTGACAATCCCAAGAGATTTTACGCTCAGCCCTGTGTGCTGGGCTGTGAGGGATTCACCTCGGGGAGACACTACTGGGAGGTGGAAGTGGGGGATGGGGGATGCTGGGCCGTGGGGGTAGCCAGAGAGTCTGTGAGGAGGAAGGAAGAGATCAGCCATAGCCCTGAGGAGGGGATCTGGATTTTGTGCCACTGCGTGGGTGAATACTGGGCTCAGACCTCCCCTCTGACCACCCTCTATCTGAGCTGGGACCCCAGGAGGATCGGGGTTTTGCTGGACTATGAAGTAGGGCGGGTGTCTTTTTTCGACGCGGACAACGAGAAACCCATCTTCACTTTCCCCCCAGCCTCCTTCGGCAGGGAGAGAGTCCGCCCTTGGTTCCGTCTCTGTGGGGAGGACATGCTGCTCCGACTGTGTCCCTGAGGTGCAGAGCGGGACAGCCCTCCTCCTCTGCCAGCCCCCATCTTGAGGCATTTGGAGGCTGAAGTGTATTTCAGGCTTGCCAAAGCAACCTCGAGACAGGAGCGATCTGACTAGATGCGAGAATGACTTTGACCTGCCTGTCGGTCCCCGTTCTCTATGATCCCAGAAGGCTGTACGTTTCTGCCGAGAAGGGGCGTGTGGGGGGAGTTGAAGTACGATTTAGTGTATCACAAAAGGAGCTCTTCTCTGTTGTACTGGGCAAAAACGACGGAAATAAACACAGATCTCTTTTATAAACTGGGGTGGTGCTTTCTTTTCCTGCCATGCCTACTGGATTCAACGCAGGTTACGTGAGGAAAGATTATTCATAGTATTAATAGTACAGTAAAAGCTGTGTTATCCGGTGCTTTATGAACTGGAAAGCTCTATGAGCCGGCATTTCTGGTATCTCCCAATAGAAATCTTCAATCTAGTAACCGGGACTAGTTTACTGCCCAGGAGGTTATGCAACTGCACATTCTGCACTTTGCTTTTATGCAAAAGAGGCAGAAGACAAGGCAGCAAGGGGATATCAGGGATTTAGTCAAAAAAAAGCAGCTTCCAGGGTGTGTTGTAAGGTCGGTATAGATCCAGCCCAATCTGCTACACCTTCCACATCTACTGTACAATAATTGGTGTTGATAATGCTGACCGTGAGGCACTGCAAGATCCTGAAGTGCCTTCTGAATCAAAGAAAGATTAAATTATGTTAAGTAAAGCTTTAGTGTTCAGGGTATTTTTAGTGATCTGGGTGTACGCCACGCTCTGCCCATAGTGAAATGCAGTGTCATAAGATAACCAACTGTATAGAAAAAGCTTTCCCTGTATATACCTAAGTGCTTGAAGAAACCAACCACTCTGCCGTGCAGTACTACGACTGGACTGGGGAGTACCCGTCTACTATTTTATACCGAATTCATTTTATTGTATTCTTATTCTTTGAAAATTGGTATTTCATTGGAGAGTATAACACTAAGTTAATTGGAATTTTTGACTAACTGGTACCTCCATTCCCCCAACATGCTGGATAACAAAGCTTTCACTGTATAAATCTTTATTTATATTATCATAGCAGCGAAGGACCTCAGTCACAGCTTGTGCTAGACAGCATGCAAACAGAACACAAAGACAGTGCCTGCCCTCAATCCCTGTGTAGCTAGGTCGAGACTCGCTGGTGCGGCGCCTCCTGCTGGTCCTCTGGGAATTAGCTCTTTTCCAGCATATGGAGCACCCTCTGCAGACCAGTGTCTCGCCTGCTGCTGGCCCCATGTCCCTCCCAGACCCCAGTGCCCCTTACCCTTGGGTTTCTACCCCCAGCGGTATCCCACAATCTGACTCTCCCCTCCCAGGGGAACCCCCAATCCACTAAACCCACCTTGCCTCAGTGGCTACTGCCAGTCATCATCTCGCCCCCACTCATTGGGGCAGGCTGCAATCTGTAATGGCCAGTCATCGCTGGCAAGGGGATAGGACCTGCTGCCTTTGCCTATCCCCAGGCTACCTCTCTGCAGCCCCAGTACCTTTTGTAGGCCTTCACTAAGGCCTGCAGCCTGGGGGTTCACCAGGCTAGAGCTCCCCAGCTCCCTTTGCCCTTCCCCAGCACTGCTCTGCTTCAGGTACCTCAGCCTAGCCTTTCACAGTCACAGCCTTCTCCAGAACTGCTTTTAACCCTTGTTTTCCAGGAATGGGGCAGTTGCCCCACTACACCCTGCTTTCCCCTGATGTCTGCTGAAGCCAGATTTTCAGGCCTGGGTGCATCAAGTGCCCAGACACTATGGTGACAGGGGGCCACCCACGTACCTAGGTAGAGAGGGGCTGGGAAACTCCTGTGTGTGCAGCTATAACATCACAGCTGTTAGAGGGGATCAAAAGTTGGAACTTCAAACCCCTAATCACCCACCCCTTCCCCTTGCATTAAAGCAGTAAAGCTTTATCCCCAACAATAGGGGGAAGTAATAGGTATTAGAATTATTTCTATCCTTTCTTTCTTTCCCACGAAACAAGGCCCATCAACTTAAACAGCACAGCTTGAGAGGAATATATGAAGCTCAGTTCCCCTTTCACGTTAATATAAATCAGGAACACAGCAGAACCTGCAAGTTACAAACCCTCAGGAATGGAGGTTCATTACTCTGAAATGTTCGTAACTGAACAAAACGTTATGGTGGTTCTTTCAAAAGTTTACAACTGAACATTGACTTAATGCAGCTTTGAAACTACTATGCAAAAGAAAAATGCTGCTTTCCCTTTATTTTTTTAGTAATTAACATTTAACACAGTACTGTGCTGTATTTGTATTATACTGTGTCTGCTGCTGCCTGCTTGCGTACTTCCGGTTCCAACTGAGTTGTGTGTGATTATCTGATCAGTTCGTAACTCTGGTGTTCATAACTGTGAGGTTCTACGGTAACTCACTGGTGTCATGGGGGATCAGTCTCTGCTCTCAGTTTTACCCATATTCATTTAGCAGAGCTGGAAACTAATCCACATATGGCCATATTCTCGGTTGGTGCAAGTCAGCAGAGCACCAAGGAAGACATCCCCACTTTGGGAAAGCGTTTTACACATTCACCAAGTTAAATAAAAGTTAACAATGCTGTTCAGTAAGAGGAATTTCTTTCCCACTAAACATGATGATATGTGATGCTAGCTTTTAATGGAGGGTGGAAACCCTCAAAATATAGAAACATTATATAGAAGGAAAAGTTCTAAAACTGTTGGATCTGGAAATGTTGAAATGTTTTGTTTCACTGGATATGAAATGATTTATTTTGCAATGTTGACATGTCAAAATATCAGTCCAAAGCCCAATGTTTTGTTTAACTTTTTTTTTTTTTACACGAAATCAGAATGTTTCAGCAAAACTGACCTGTTGCCACAAAATATTTTGGCGTTGAAACCACGTATATTAGCTGGACAAACGTTCAGACAAAATATTTCAACCGGCTCCTATGTGATAACAACAAAAAAAATTTAAATGAGAATAATTATGCCAAAGGGAAGAGAAAGAAGCCCTTACAGGCAAGAAAGGAAGACTCACAAAAGAGGCCATGATGTCCACTAGCAATCCACAAGCATCCAGGAGCCCCAAACACTTTTGAAGCCCTGCCTGCCTTAGCTGTGTCTCTTTGACCTCTTCATCACACACCCAAACCTTCAAGGGGAAGGGCACAGGGAAATAAAGTTCATACACTAACCAAATAGTTACAGTGACACAGAATTACCCTAACATATGCATTCTCGTTTATGAGTGCTCTCTGTTTTCCAGTGCTGGATAAATCACTGCGGGGGCCATTTTCATTCCCCCCTAGGGAAAGTCCCAGCAGCCGTGATGCTGCATCATGATATTCGCTGTGAGTCCTCAATCCCTGTCTACACAGTGTTTGCGCTGCTTTAACTATATTGGTTTGAAACTGGTATTAAAGCAGTTAAAGTTAAAGCAGAACACCTCCCCTTAGTATGGATATACCAGTATAAAGATGCCTATACTAGCATAGTTTAGAGCTTGTCTACACTACCGGCCGGATCGACGGGCAGCAATCGATCCAGCAGGGGTCAATTTATCATGTCTAGTATAGACTCAATAAATCGACAGCCAGTCTCTCTAGCGTGAACTCCGGACTCCACATAGCTGAAATTGTGTGACTTAGATCAAACACACACACACACCCGCCCTGTAGTGTACACCAGCCCTTGTAAATTTAGGGGAATAAGCTACGTTGATATAAGCACCTTTATTTTGATATAACTAAGTGTTATACCAAGTTTACTAAAAGAGAATGACAAAGAAAAGAGAGACAAGGCGGGTGAGGTAATACCTTTTAATAGACCAAGTTCTGTTGGTGAGAGAGACAAGCTTTCAGGCTTACCAGGCGGGAGCCCAGCCGTGCAGAAGAGCTCTGTGTGGATCAAGAGCTTCTCTCTCTCACCAACAGAAGTTGGTCCAATCAAAGGTCTTATCTCACTCACCTCATCTCTCTGATATCCCCAACGTGGCTACAACATAAAGGAAACAGAGACAGATGCACAAAGAGAGAAAAAGTCAGATAGTGAAAAAGACAAACAAGGACAGAGAGAGAGAGAGAGAGATGGGCGGATTGGATGTATTTGTGGTCTACATTTAAATACAAGGAGACCAGCCCAGCAGCGCAGTTGCTCCACATCACAACCTTCATCTTCAGAGACTTCTTCAGCCTGCAGTGAGCCTACCATAAAAAACAGAAGCCTCCATCACAGCCCTAGCTGGGAATGTGACATTTCCTCAAGGCTCAGTGAAATCCAGAGATAGAGATCCTCTCCTTGGCATCAGGCTAGCTAAGTGATCAAAGGAACCATGCTTAAGGCTCTGTATGCCTTTTTTGAGCTGGGTATTCTGGTCTGTAGGTGGAGGTTGGGTTCACATCCTGCTCTTAACACATTTTGTCCAGGCACGTGGAGTGGGTGTTTAAAATGAATTAACTAATGGTGAATTCACTGCAGGCAAAGAATTCCTCCCTTTGTTATCCTGCAGGGCTCGCTTTCTTTCTTAAAGCCGGGGTGCCTTCCTGCCCCTCCACATTTTCCTCTCCAGCACATCACAATCAAGCAATCCTCATGCCTCCCATAAGTTCATTTCCCATACTGCCCTGCCATGCAAACTACACTTCCCATAACACTCTGCCAGGCATACTGCTTTCCCCATAATGCTCCACCCCAACACTGCATTTCTGATCAGGCCCAGAGACTACACCTCCCACAATGCCTTGCGACGTAAAACGCTGTTGCATGGCAAAGGAGACTACACTTCCCATAGTTCTCTGCAACACAGACTGCCCGTCAGAGTTTGCTCTGCAGTAAAGAGTGCGTGTTCTTTATGCCTTGCAGTGGAGACTACATTTCCCACAGTGCATCTGTGATGGAAACACAAAAGGCAACTGAGATGCAGGTTCTGCTACCCCGGTGCATCAGAGAAGCATCTCTGGTTGGCTGGGGCTGCTCCCCAATTACCCCTTGGTGCTTGGGCACAGGGCCTTCTCCAGTATGAATCCAGGTAAGTGCTGGGAAGGGGATTGATGGTAGGTGCAATGAGTAGACAGCTCAGGGAAGGCAGCCAAGGAACCTTGATGTAGGTCAATACAGCAGCTGAGCATTTTGAAGCCTGACCCCTAAGAAGCTGCTTAGAGAGCAAGATGCCCTGTTTGGTGCTGGACCGCAGGACCCCTGTATTTGCCAGCTGAAATCATTCAAAAACCAGTCAGCCCCCCAAAATCACGAGACTGCTTTCAAATAATGAGGCTTTAAATAATAAACACAGAATTATTATTATTATTAATTTTGTTATTTATTATTAATAATTATTATTTTATTACAGTTTATTATTTGCCTTCTGGGTTCTGAGACTCTAGAACCAAGTTTTCAAGCTTTTCTCTTTAACCTTGGGGGCTAGAAATGTATTTTTTTAAAAGAAAAAAATTAAAGCTGAGATTCTTCCATAATCATCTGACTCTGGGTGCTGGGGCTTTGAGGAAAACACTAAACATCATGAGACTGGCGATAAAAAACAGATGTTGGCGTCACTGGAACAGTCGCCCAGCTTCTTAGCTGAGCCAAGATTTTGCAAAGTGACTTAATGATTTTCAGTGTCCATCTTAACGGGCCGGATTTTTAAAAAGTGCTGAGAACTTATCCTCCGAAAAATCAGGGCTTCTTTATGGTGTGTTGGGTTAAACATCCAGAATTCAGCAGCTGCTTTGGAAAATCTTGGCCCTGTAGCTCCTTTGACGTTAGTGGAGCAGGATCTGGTTCCACAGACTCCTAGTCCAAACCCAGAACTGGGAAAGGGAGGGAGCGGAAGAGCCCAGAAATTAGACCTTCCCCCACAGCTCACGCTCCTCAGCTGGCATTGTGAGAGCTGCTTTCCTGTTTCAACTTTAGCTATCAGTTTTCTACAGCCTCCCATCACCGTAGTGTCTGATCATCTTCCACTTAAAATTCCACGCAGGAGCAAAGTCTCTAGTGGACTCCGTAGACTCTCTGGCACCTTCTCAGGGGCAGAACTATGCTTGGGGATAGGAGTGAAACTCATTTTAGAACATAAGAATATAAGAAGGGCCATACTGGGACAGACCAAAGCTCCATCCAACTCAGTATCCTGCCTTCTGACAGTGGCCAATGCCAGGTGCTTCAGAGGGAATGAACAGAACAGGTAATCATCAAGTGATCCATCCCTATCACCCATTCCCAGCTTCTGGCAAACAGAGGCTAGGGATACCATCCCTGCTCATCCTGACTAATAGCCATTTGATGGACCTATCCCCCATGAATTTACCTACTTCTTTTTTTAACCCTATTATAATCTTGGCCATCACAACATCCTCTGGCAAGGAGTTCCACAAGTTGACTGTGTGTTGTGTGAAGAAATACTTCCTTTTATTTGAAACCACTTTATAGCATACTGAGGACCACACCACTAAAGCTGGCTAGAGAACAGAATTTTGGTTCTGTGAAATTTTGAGTGTTCAGGAAACGTTTTGGCCAAAATTGGGACAAAAAACCAAAACCGTGCAAATTGTGGAACTGAAGTCCTGCAATATTTTGCTTCAGAAACATTGAAATGTTTCTGCAGGGAGAATGGTGTTTCTTAAATATGCTCCTCTGCTCCGGGGCAGGCTGCCTTTGAACAAGGACCCGAGAAACCTGCCTGATTTTGGTTGAAAGTTTCGAAAGAATTGGGACATTGCCGCAGAACATTTCAATTCTGTCAAAATATTTCCCCTTGAGAAAACAGTTCCAGTGGAAAATTTTCTGCCAGCTCTAGCCAGTGACCCAGTACTTTGGGTATAATGATGATGAACCCCTAAATGTTCCTTACATTTTGCATCTCTATGGTAGGACTAGTTTGCTGGCATTGTTCTTAGAGGTGACCCAATAGCAAGTGTGAAAAATCGGGACAGGGTGGGGGGGGGGTAGTAAGCGCCTATGTAAGACACAGTCCTGAATATCGGGACTGTCCCTATAAAATCAGGACAGGTGGTCACCCTAATCGTTTTCCTTTTCCTGGAACCTTACTGCTATTGATTTACTTAGTAATAGCGAGGATAATTAATCATTGGAGCAATTTGCCAAGGATCGCAGTGGATTCTCTGTCTCTGGCAATTTTTAAATCAAGTTTGGATGCTTTTCTAAAAGATACGCTCTAGTGCAAACAGAAATTATTCTGGGGAAGTTCCCTGGCCTGGGTTCTCTGGCCAGGAGGTCAGAATAGATGATCACAATGGTTTCTTAAAGCCTTAGACTCTGCATTATTTGTATTACATAGGATCTAAAGGCAGCAGCTGAGATCTGGGCGCACTACAAACACACAGTGAGACTCAGTCCCTGCCCCAAAGACCTTACAGTCTAAATAGACATGGTAGGAAGGAGGGGAAAGGACTATTATTCCCATTTCACATATGGGAACTGAGGCTGGCATTTTCAAAGGTTACCTAAGGGAGTTATTCCTGAAATTCAATGAAAGTTGGATGTCTGTTTCACATAGGTGCCTTTAAACATCCAAGCCTAAGTGAATTGTCCAAGGTCATACAGGGAGTCTGTATCAGAGCTGGGGAATGAAACCAGGTGTCCTGTGGCCCTGCCCCTTTCCTTAACCTCAAGACCATCAGCCTTCCTCACACTGTGACCTTGTGTTGTCATTTACACCCTTGTAAAGTGTTTGAAATAAGCAACCCTTTCCAAAAAGATTTCAAGGTCAGACTTCCAAAAAAAAGGAGTACTTGTGGCACCTTAGAGACTAACAATTTATTTGAGAGAGCTTCGTGAGCTACAGCTCACTTCATCGGATGCATACCGTGGAAACTGCAGCAGACTTTATATATACACAGAGAATATGAAACAATACCTCCTCCCACCCCACTGTGATCCTCTAGCCCAGTGGTTCTCAACCTTTCCGGGCTCAGGAGCCATTTGTTAATGTTTGTGGCCTGTTGCGACCCAGTAAATAGTCTGGCGGTGGAGGCCCTGAGGTGGGTTCAGTTGGATCCTGCCCCCTGGGAAGGTTCGGTCCTGCCCAGTGCTCGCCCCACAGTGGCGGCTCCTGCAGCTCCCATGCTTTGGGGCTGGCTAGGCTTGGGTCTCTGCTCCGGGCACTGTGACCTCTGGGATAGCAGCACTGCTCAGATTTGGCCCCGGCCCCTGACTGGACCCAATCTGTGTGAGTGGAGCTGTGCCCTGGCTCATGGGGTTGCAGGGCCACTCACTCAGGTTTGGCCTACCCAGGCTCCCATTGCCATGATGGCTGGGCCAAACTTGAGTGGTGCTGGGAGGTTGCAGTGCCTGGAGCGGGGAGGGGAGCCCAGCCGCCCCATGGGACAGGAGCCGCAGGAGCTGCCATGCGACCCTTTGAAACATTCTGGAACCTAGGCACCAACTTCTAGTTTTCCCCGGGGGTGCTCCACCCCCACTTTGCTCTGAGGCCCTTTCCCCAAAGGCCCCGCCCTCACCCCGCCTCTTCTGCCCCGCTCTGCCCCCCTCCCGAGGCCCCGCCCCCACTCCACCCCTTCCTCCCAAGCCGCACCCTCGCTCCACCTCTTCCTGCCCCGCTCTGCCCCACTCCCCCGAGGCCCCGCCCTTGCTCTCCCTCTTCCTGCCCCCCGCTGCTCCCCTCCCAAGTCCCCCGCCTGCCCACTGCTGGCTGCTCGCCACCCTCCCGCAAGCCTCCAAACAGCTGTTTTGTGGCTGCGCCTGCACCCACTTTTTTTTGCTGCAGGTGCTCCAGCCCCGGAGCACCCACAAAGTCGGCGCCTACGTTCTGGAGACCCAATTTTGGGTCCCGACCCACGGGTGGAGAAATGCAGATCTAGTCCGACCGCCCAAATAGCACAGGCCGCTTAATTCCGCTCCATGATTCCTGTCGGGAGTCCAATAACTTGAGGTTGTGCCGAGATCCAAGTGTTCCTAGGGTTTTGGCCTCTGCTTCTCCACCTTATCGAGTTTCCCCAATCCCTGGTGCTGAGGTTTCCTTTCTTCCCAGCCCAGAGAACAACTCACCTTCAGATTCTCTCTTTTTATCCCAGCAGCTGATGGGCTCGAGCATGAGAATGAAGAGACGAATCCCTGGCAGGGAGGTCCGGAGCGTGCAGAACCATGCGGGGCATTCTCGGGAAGATCCAAAGGGATTGCTTCTCAGCGGGGGAAAGCTGTGGAGAGTCGGCGCAGGTCAGGGAGGCAGCACCCAGCGAAGCAAGAGGATAAACCCGCCTGCCATCAGAGAGCTCTCAAGGGACCCCAAGACAGCAACACGGTCACCGCCGAGAAACCCTATAAATGTAGCGTGTGCGGCAGAAGCTTCTCTCAGAGCTCCAACCTCCTGACTCACCAGAGGCTGCACACGGGTGAGAGACCCTATAAATGCACCAGCTGTGGGAAAAGCTTCAACACCAGTTCGGCCCTCATTGTGCACCGCCGGACCCACACCGGGGAGAAATCCTACCGCTGCCCTGACTGCGGGCGCAGCTTCAGTGAGGGCTCGGTGCTGATCAAGCACTGGCGGACCCACACGGGTGAGAAGCCCTACAAGTGCGCCCACTGCGGGAAAGGCTTCAGCCAGAGCTCCAACCTGCACGCCCACCAGCGGGTCCACACCGGGGAGCGGCCCTACCACTGCACCGACTGCGGGAAACACTTCAGCACCAGCTCCAACCTCAGCGCCCACCAGCGGGTCCACACCGGGGAGCGGCCCTACAAATGCCCTGAGTGCGGGCGGAGCTTCAGCCAGCAGTCCAACCTGATCTCCCACCAGAGGACCCACCTGGAGGAGAAATCCCACCTGTGCCCCGACTGCGGAGAAGGCTTCGGCACCAGCGCCCAGCTCCTGACCCATCGGAGGAGCCACGCAGGCGACAGGCCTTATAAATGTCCTGACTGCGAGAAAAGCTTCCCCAGCCGCTCCGCCCTCATCACCCATCAGAGGACCCACACGGGAGAAAAACCCTACAAATGTCCCGATTGCCAGCGGGGCTTCACCCGGCGCTCGGACCTCAATAAGCACCGCCGGGTCCACACGGGGGAGAGACCCTTTAGGTGTGCCAGCTGTGGGAAAAGCTTCAGCCAGAGCTCCCACCTCATTACCCATAAGAGACTCCATGAGGATGCAAAGCCCTATAAAGGCAGCATGAGCACCACGCCGACGGTCCTCCAGGAAGAGGATCCCGGTAAAGATACTCAGAGCAGGGGAAGCGTCGGCCAGAGCTCGGCAGAGACCAGCGATGGGGAAGCCCACCTGGTGGGGAAGCCCCATCAATGCCCTGACTGCGGGGAAAGGTTTGATGCCAGCTCTGAGCTCAATGTGCATCGGCGAATGCACCGAGAGGAGAAATCTCGTCCGCGTGCTAACGCTGTGGAAAGGTTGAGTGGCTCCAATCACAATGCACGAGAAGGAGCTGACCAAGAGGAGGAAGCTGATCTGGGGAAAAGATTGAAGGCGAGCCCAGCACCCCCCAGTACACATCCCAAAACCCCACTGGAGGAGGCGTTCTCTCCATGTGTTAACACTGAGCAAAGTCCCCAACCCACCAGCTCCAATGTCAGTGCACGTCAGAGAGCCCACACAGAGGGGGAATCCTTCCCATGCGCTGGTATGGAGCAGAGCCCAGTGCCGGCTGCCCGCCAGGCAGAGCCAAGGGGCCGCAAGGCACGTTCTGATCTGAGCTTGGCCCCTTCGCGCTGTCCAGCGGTGAAGCCCTTCAGGTGCTCCGAATGCGGGAAGAGCTTCAGTCAGAGCTCCAACCTGATCAAACACCAGCGGACCCACACGGGGGAGCGGCCCTACACCTGCGCCGTCTGCAAGCGGAATTTCAACACCAGCTCGACGCTGATCGTGCACCGCCGGACCCACACCGGGGAAAAATCCTACCAGTGCCCTGACTGCGGGCGCAGCTTCCGGGACAGCTCAGTGCTGATCAAACACCAGAGGATCCACACGGGAGAGAAACCTTACAAATGCTCCCACTGCGGGAAAGGCTTTGCCCAGAGCTCCAACCTTCATGCCCACCAGAGGACCCACACTGGGGAGCGGCCCTACCACTGCCCTGACTGTGGGCGGGGCTTCAGCCAGCGCTCCAACCTCATCACCCACCAGAGGACCCACACGGAGGAGAAATCCTACCTCTGCCCTGACTGCGGGGTTGGCTTCGGTTCCCGCCCGGCCCTGGTGACCCATCAGAGGGCCCACGCGGAGGGCAGGCCCCACCAATGCTCCGACTGCCAGAGGAGCTTCGCCCGGCGCTCGGACCTCGTTAAGCACTGGCGGACCCACACGGGAGAGAGACCCTACCTGTGCCCCCAGTGCGGGAGAAGCTTCAGCCAGAGCTCCCACCTGGTGGTCCATCAGCGATCGCACCTGCCAGAGAAGCCTTACAAATGCACCGACTGTGGGAAAAGCTTCAGCACCAGTTCTCACCTCCTTGCCCACCAAGGGACCCACACGGCATAGCCACCTGGCACTGGTGCGGTCCTAGAAGTGTCAGGCTGGACAGGGCCTCGAGAGGGCATCCAGTCCAGTCCCACCAGCGGAGGCAGGACCAAATACACCTAGCCCATCCCTCACAGGTGTTTGTCCAACCTGGTCTTAAAAACCTCCAATGGTGAGGGTCCCACAACCTCCATAGGTCGTCTGTTCCAGAGCCAAACTCCCCTTAAGTGTTAGAAAGTTTTTCCACATATCTGGGCTAAATCTTCCTTGCTCCAGATCAAGCCGATTACTTCCACTGTGACTAATAATACTGTTGCCTTCCTATACATCACTTTTCACCTGTAGAGCTCAAAGCACTTCCCAATTCCTAATCTCTATATCCTCACAGCACCCCGAGAGGTAGGGAAGCATTAGTCCCCCATCTGTAAAACGAGGGATAATGAGACGCAGAGAGGCTAAGTGGCTAACTCGAAGTCAGACAGGAAACCCGCAGCCCAGCAGGGAGATGAAACTGACTCACCCATGTCCTCAGCCAGAGCCTTTACCATTGGACCATCCTTGCCCTCAGGTAGCTGAATTCATAGGCGCCGACTTTCTAATGTGCCGGGGGGTACTCGCCCCTGCTCCGCCCCAGGCCCCACCCCAACTCCACCCTTTCCCCCAAGGCCCGACCTCCAACCCGCCTCTTCCGGCCCCCTCCCCTGAGCGTACCACGCCATCCTCCCCCTCCCCCCAGTGCACCCTGCCCTCGCTCCTCCCTTCCCCCGCCAGTGCTGGCATGCAATTAAGCTGTTGCATGCCAGCAAACAGCTGATCCACCGTGGGCTGGAGGCGCTGGGAGGGAGAGGGAGGTGCTGATCGGCAGGGCCCACTGGCAGCCAAGAGAAGCTGTGGGGAGGCAGAGGCATGGATGGGTGGGTGCTCAGCACCCACCATTTTTTTCCTGTGGGTGCTCCAGCCCTAGAGCACCCACGGAGTTGGCACCTATGGCTCAAATAGGGGAGGAAGTCGACGCTGGGGGATACCTGGGCTCAGGATACTCCCTGTGTGACCTTGAGCAAGGTACTTAGGGACCATCCACACTGCCGTTGTAAGTCCCAGCTTGAGTAGATGTACACACCCTCGCTTTGATCAAGCTAGCGTGCTCAAAGTAACAGCGATGCGGCCGCAGCATGGAGGACAGTCCCATCCGAGACCCACGCTATGTACTCAGGTGGCTAGCCCGTCCTGCCCCCCACCCCGTGGCAGCTACACTAGGAGTGGCGGAAGCTTCCTAAAAGTGGGGGGCCCACTGGCACCTGAACCGTGGCCGCACCTGCCTGTGCCACCCCTTCTCCCCAAGGCCCTGCCCTTGTGCCGCCCCTTCCCCTGAGATTCTGCCCCCACCTCGCCTCTTCCCTCCATGACCCCGCCCCCTGCTCACTCCTCTCCGCCCTCTCCCCCTTGTCGTTTGCCCTTACAGCCAGTAAAAAGTGATGGGCCATGGCCCCCTGGTTCCCCCCCGTTCTGCTGCCCCGGAGCTAGCCCACTGTTTTTAGCATGCTAGCGCCATCAAAGGGAGCACATATACCTCTACCCATGCTGGAAATTGCAGGTCCAGCTTTAATGGAAACGCACCCTTAAGGCTAGATTTTTCAAAGTGCCTAAAGATTGAAATCAATGGGAGTTTAGTCCCTGTGCAGGTATGGTGCCTATGAATCCTAGAATATCAGGGTTGGAAGGGACCTCAGAAGGTTATCTAGTCCAACCCCCTGCTCAAAGCAGGACCAATCCCCAGCTAAATCATCCCAGCCAGAGCTTTGTCAAGCCAACTTTTCCACATCCTTCTTGTAGTGTGGGACCCAAAACTGGACACAGTACTCCAGAGTGCAGGACTCTGTACTTGTCCTTGTTGAACCTCATCAGATTTCTTTTGGCCCAATCCTCTAATTTGTCTAGGGCCCTCTGTATCCTATCCCTACCTTCCAGCGTATCTACCTCTCCTCCCAGTTTAGTGTCATCTGCAAACTTGCTGAGGGTGCAATCCACACCATCCTCCAGATTATTAATGAAGATATTGAACAAAACCAGCCCGAGGACCGACCCTTGGGGAACTCCACTTGATACCAGCTGCCAACTAGACATGGAGCCATTGGTCACTACCCATTGAGCCCGAGGATCTAGCCAACTTTCTATCCACCTTATAGTCCATTCATCCAGCCCATACTTCTTTAACTTGCTGGCAAGAATACTGTGGGACACCGTGTCAAAAGCTTTGCTAAAGTCAAGGAACAACACATCCACTGCTTTCCCCTCATCCACAGAGCCAGTTATCTTGTCATAGAAAGCAATGTGATTAGTCAGGCATGACTTGTCCTTGGTGAATCCATGCTGACTGTTCCTGATCACTTTCCTCTCCTCTAAGTGCTTCAGAATTCATTCCTTGAGGACCTGCTCCATGGTTTTTCCAGGGACTGAGGTGAGGCTGACTGGCCTGTAGTTCCCAGGATCCTCCTTCTTGCCTTTTGTAAAGATGGGCACTACATTAGCCTTTTTCCAGTCTTCCGGGACTTCCCCCGATCGCCATGAGTTTTCAAAGATAATGGCCAATCGCTCTGCAATTACATCCGCCAACTCCTTTAGCACCCTCGGATGCAGCGGGTCCGGTTCGATGGACTTGTGCTCGTCCAGCTTTTCTAAATAGTCCCGAACCACCTCTTTCTCCACAGAGGGCTGATCACCTCCTCCCCATGCTGTGCTGCCCAGTGCAGTAGTCTGGGAGCTGACCTTGTTCGTGAAGACAGAGGCAAAAAAAGCATTGAGTACATTAGCTTTTTCACGAGGTTGCCTCCCTCGTTCAGTAAGGGGCCCACATTTTCCTTGACTTTCTTCTTGTTGCCAACTTACCTGAAGAAACCCTTCTTGTTACTCTTAACATCTCTTGCTAGGGGCCCACATTTTCCTTGACTTTCTTCTTGTTGCCAACTTACCTGAAGAAACCCTTCTTGTTACTCTTAACATCTCTTGCTAGCTGCAACTCCAGGTGTTATTTGGCCTTCCTGATTTCACTGCTGCATCCCCGAGCAATATTTTTATACTCTTCCCTGGTCATGTGTCCAAACTTCCACTTCTTGTAAGCTTCTTTTTTGTGTTTAAGATCAGCAAGGATTTCACTGTTAAGCCAAGCTGGTTACCTGCCATATTTACTATTCTTTCTACACATCGAGATGGTTTGTTCCTGCAACCTCAATAAGGATTCTTTAAAATTCAGCCAGCTCTCCTGGACTCCTTTCCCCCTCATGTTATTCTCCCAGGGGATCCTCCCCATCAGTTCCCTGAGGGAGTCAAAGTCTGCTTTTCTGAAGTCCAGGGTCCGTATTCTGCTGCTCTCCTTTCTTCCTTGTGTCAGGATCCTGAACTCGACCATCTCATGGTCACTGCCTCCCAGGTTCCCATCCACTTTTGCTTCCCCTACTAATTCTTCCCGGTTTGTGAGCAGCAGGCCAAGAAGAGCTTTGCCCTAGTTGGTTCCTCCAGCATTTGCACCAGGAAATTGTCCCCTACACTTTCCAAAAACTTCCTGGATTGTTTGTGCACCGTTGTATTGCTCTCCCAGCAGATATCAGGGTGATTGAAGTCTCCCATGAGACTTCTCCCATAGTAACTTCCATTACTAGAACATCCTGTTGAATGCCTCCCTGCATCTTTAGGTACCGAAACACCTTTGAAAATCTAGCCTCTTGTGCCTCAGTTCTCAATCTATACAATGGGGATAGGAGCACCCATCTTACATAGTGCATTAAATATTGCGAGGTCTTTGAATACTAGGTAAAGGGAGGCCTGATAAGTACCCTTAGAATACATTATTGTGCCATGAATGTAGAGACCTTTGTCATGCTTGAAATTGTGTTGACAGCTAGTCACTGATTGGCATTTTCTGAGCAGAAAATATTTTGTTAAGGGTGGGACCCGGGGTGCTTGGGGCAGCCCTCACTGAAAATGCCAAGATCAGTTCAGGCTGCAAAACGAGAGCAGATAACCACCAGTTCTGGGAGAAACACTCAAGTTAGACTCCCCAACCAGTCACAAACTGTGCTTCTGATCCCCCACATTGGTTCTCGAGAAACTAAAAAAGAAATCACATAGTCCCATTTATTGCATTCCAGTTCTCTGGCTTCCAATCAGCACCTAGGTCCAGTACAGTGAGAAGTTATTTAAAAACTCTCCTCACATATACAAAATGTTCTTCTCACCCCAAAGGGTCAGCCACATTGCCAGGTCAGTACTAGTTTGGATCTTACCCAAAATACCATGCTGCAAGCCAATCCTTTAGTGTCTAAAACTAAAGGTTTATTATAAGGAAAAAGAAAGAACAAGAAGAGAGTTGTTAAATGATAAAGCAATCAGATACATACAGAGATTTCAAAGTCCATATATCAGGGTCTTAGCAGTAATGGTGAGTTTGCTGGCTTGAAAGTCCCTCTGGAACACATCCACAGCTTGGATGGATCATTCAGTCCTTTGTTCAGTTTGTAGAAAAGTTACTCCAGAGGTAAGAAGCAGGAATGAAGACAAAATGGAGATGATGCAGCTTCCTTTTATATTCTTTTGCCACGTGGCTTGTACTTCCTGTGTCCCAGACACAAACTTCACAGCACATGGCATGGAAAAGCCATGGAGTTCTCTTCCATAGGCATGCCCCTACATGTCTTGCTGACTCATACAGTGTAACCCTTGGATTCTTTCAGTGGGTTCATTGTACAGTTGATGACCCTTGATGGCCATCAAACAGGCTAGGCAGTGCTGATGGCAGTCAGTCTGGGGGTGTCACCCAGAAACACAGCACAAGTTGGAAATACAGCTATACCCTACACATCTATAACTCACACTACAAAGGTGATACAAACATATAAAGAAGATGATCATACTTGGCAAATTCTAACATTTTCACAGATACCTCACACGGCATATCCGGTCAGATTCCTTGCAATTTTATAATATTGGCATCAACACTATCATATAAAGTGCCCCCCATATTCCATACAGCATCACAAATGGAAAATCTCGTTTCATCAAAACCAGAAAAATAGCGTTCCTCTGGGAAACTGGACATTTCCCACTGGGAAATCCCCAACCGGGGGAAAGCTAGTGGGAATCTACTTTCCAACTTGATTTCCAGCTGGAAAAAGTTGGGAAACAGTCAGAAAATGTGAGAAAATAGGATTCTCTTACTCTCCCCTTCTTTTTCTAATAGTCCCATGGGAAAGTGGAATTTTCCACTGGGAAAACTTCCCAAAGGACATATGCCCCTGAAAATTCCTCTGAGAACTCAATACAGGGGTAGCTGTGTGAATTCTATGGCCTATATAAAGCAGGAGATCAGACTAGATGATCAAATGGTCCCTTCTAGCCTTAAAATCTAGGAAACAAATTCCCATTTTCCAAACAGGTCTCGTAACTTCACCGCTAGCTAGGCCTGGCTAATGGATGTGGCCCTTTAGCCCAAGCGGGAGGTGCTTATGCTTTTGGATAGAGGTCAGGGGGTTCAGTCCTCACAGATGCTCAAATTCCCTACAGAGCTTTAAAAATTCCAATCTCTGTGTCCGCATGTACCATTGCTGCTCAGAAACCGAACTTGAGACTTCTGGAGCTAAAAGCAAGAATTGGTATGGCCTGATCTAAAGGAGAAAAGGGGGCTGCATTTGATAGTAAAGTTTTATTTATAAAAGTTTTAATAAACGATGAATAGCTGTTAGAAGCATGTTACAGACATGATTAGTATGTGCTATAGGTGCATCGATTGAAGGTTATAAGCATGTCCGTAGGAGTCAATATCAATGGTTATAAGCAATCTGTTGACCTGTCTAAATGGGGGGGGTCGCATACTTCTTTGCTTCTGTAGGCTGAGTTTATTGCACATACCAGAGACCTCTTGCCTCCCTCCAGTTCACTCTCCTTTCCCCTCTATTTCAGCGACTCCCTGTAACTTTCCTCCCTTCCCCGGTTAGTCTTTGTTCTGTCCTGGAGATGAGTCATTTGGGGTAGCAACATGTTAAACTCCACTGGGAGAAGGAGCAGGGATGTTGTTATGCTGGAAGGTGTCGGGGGTGCCATCAACCTGTTGTTTGGTCTATAGACATTTGCAGAGGTGGTTGAAGCTGTGGCTAGGTGAATCAGATGGAAGGGGCTCCCCGTGTCCCCTATTTTTCCCTTGTTTTCTGATTTTGTTCCCCCAAAATCAATAGGATTGTGACCACTGACATCTAGAACATTCCCATGTATGTTGGAATTGATCAGCTGCGGTGTTCAGACGTTACCACATTATGAAAGATAAACGGAGAAATGTAGTTGAGTGTCAGGCTTTTGAACACCCAGCCAACGATTGAGTGACCATTTCTTGAAATGCTCTGTTAATCCTGTATTAATCTGTAATAAATGACAGGTTTCAGAGGAACAGCCGTGTTAGTCTGTATTCGCAAAAAGAAAAGGAAACATCTGATGAAGTGAGCTGTAGCTCACGAAAGCTCATGCTCAAATAAATTGGTTAGTCTCTAAGGTGCCACAAGTACTCCTTTTCTTTCTGTAATAAATGTCACCATGATAAAAAGTGTAACCAGGCAATCTCCATTTCCGCCAAGGCTACAGTGAACTCAAAACATCTATATCCCATCTAGCCAATAGAGGGGGACAGAGAGCCACTTTTTGTGAGCGAGGGGTACAATTGCATGAGAGCCAGTCTCAATTTCAAGGAATATTTCTTACTGTAACCCTTCTGCCAGGTGGAGTCAGCAGCAGCCACGACTGGGTTCTATACCTAGGGGTTCCTTTCCATCAATCCAACACAGAATCGGCTCGAGCCCCCACCCAGTAACCTGGGGCAATTACACACCACCCCTGGGCATTTCCAAGAAGCAGCACTTCCCCTCTTGCAAGCACAGAGTCTGAGCGTAGAAAAGAAACTTTTCATAAAAGGAGGGAAGTCACCCGGCATTAATTAGGGAAAACACCGCAAGCAGGATTCATAAACATAAAACCGTAGGCAAAAGACATTGGGTAGTGTCCTTTTGCCTCAGGTTCTTAAATCCATCAACCAAAAGTTCCTTTAATGCGCCCCTCCCATCTCCTTCCACCACACCCCATTCATAGTTGTTGTCCTTAATCAGTGAAGATCCAAAGTTCAGAGGTCATCTTCAGGAGCTCTGGGGGGTGGTCTGCCAACCTGGGGCGGGGGGAGCACCTTGCTTTGAAATCTGATCTTTTGTGTGTTTTTACCGTATACTATACAGATTTCATGGGAGAGACCAGCGTTTCTCAAAGCCTTCAGAGCTGGGTGGGCAGAGAGTGGCAGCTGCTGACCAAGGGCCCATCTCTGCGGGCAGCCATGCAGAAGTGAGGGTGGCTATACCACACCCACCCCACTACAATAACCTTGTGACCCCCCCACAGCCCTTTTTTGGGTCAGGACCACCACAATTACAACACCATGACATTTCACGTTTAAATGGTTGAAATCGTGACGTTTACTATTTTTAAAATCCTATGGCCATGAAATTGATCAAAATGGATCATGAATTTGGTAGGGCCCTAGTTATCAATGATTTTAGCTCTGTTGGTGTGTAACGACTCCCCATTGAATATTACTCAGCTTTGTTATTACATAGTAGAGAAAGGAAAGGGCAAATGATGTCTCTTACCTGACCTTTTATTCCAGTGGGCTTTGGCTTAGCACCCATGTCCCCTGCGTAGTGAGTGCCATTTAGTTGAGGGTGAGGCCTTCAATCAGGGTATGCCAAGCACAGTTCTGCTGCCCTTGATTCACACAACAGGAAGAACAACCCTTTCGTGCCCCTGCCCCCAGTAAGAAAGTGACTTGTGATCCAACACCAGCCAAAAGTGATCATTCGGGCAAAGCAGTACCATCATGCCGAGCACCTAGGCAGGGTGGGTGTGCCCATGCAAACAAGGTCGGCTCCTGAAGTCCTCTTCCCCAGCTCAGCACTAGATGTCAGGGGAGAGCTCATTTCAGGCCCTGCTTAGATTACCAGTAATTATTCACAAATGGCTGCAAAATTTTTATTATTTATTATTTAGTATTTATTATTACAAATTATTGCAAAATTGCTCAGCACCCAACTTCTTCCATTTAGGCACCTAATAGGAAGTGTGAAGTTATTCAAAAGTTCTCAGCAGCCAACAAAGAAAGGCCTTTGTTGTTGTTGTTGAACCTTCTGTATTGCTTGGTGGAAGGGACCTGACCAATGAAATTCCTGTTTGTCTCCAAGTTTCCTCTGCGGTGTGTAAGATATTCTATTCCTTTGGGTTCTTATACTGACCCACCACCATGGTCTCCCGGCCTGAGAATCGCCTCATTTCTCAATCTAAGGGAAGCAAAGTGTCCCGTATTCATAAAATCATCTGTGTAGGATTTTAGACCACTCCATCCTATCAAAATTAGACACCAGATAAAGGAATTTCGTTTTTTGGGTCATCAGTAACTCTGCTTGCCTTGGTTGCCAGCCATTAAAAGGTCGTTGGGTCTTCTATTGTCTCTCCAGCTCCCTAAAAGTGGGGGTGCCACCAGCACCCAAACCATGTCCCTGCCCCCCCATGCCACCCCTTCCCCAGAGGCCTTGCCACCTGCATGCTTCTCTCCGCCCCCTCTCTCCAATCGCTCACCCTTACGGCCCCATAAAAGTGGGACCCAACCACTTTTAAAAGTGATGGGGCCATGCCCTCTGCCCCCCCGCCCCCATGTTCTAGCACAACTGCTGAGCAGTTTTCAAACTTTTTGAGCTGAGTCCCCCCACCCACCCCTTTGAGTTACAGTTTTTGGTTGTGCCCCCACCCACAATCCCTGACAGGCTGGGTGGCCTGCTGAGGTGAGTTGGCGGTGGAGGTGGCGCTCCCCCCCTGGGCTCTGCCGCATGGAGCTGGCTCAAGCCCTGCACCCTCCCCACCCCCCAAATATAAAAGTCAAACTGCGCCTATGAAAAAAACTAAAGTTTTCCAGTGCCTATGTAGCCCCTGGCTATGGCCAAATGCATACAAGCACCATAGTCACTGAGGAGGATTGAACAAAGGACCTTCAGCACTGAAAATACAGCCCACGCTACTGTTAATAAGTAGCAGGTGTGGCAAATTGCCAGTATGATTATCATAGAATTATAGAATATCAGGGTTGGAAGGGACCTCAGGAGGTCATCTAGTCCAACCCCCTGCTCAAAGCAGGACTAATCCCCAACTAAATCATCCCAGCCAGGGCTTTGTCAAGCTGACCTTAAAAACCTCTAAGGAAGGAGATTCCACCACCTCCCTAGGTAACCCACTGCAGTCTTTCACCACCCTCCTAGTGAAAAAGTTTTTCCTAATATCCAACCTAAACCTCCCCCACTGCAACTTGAGACCATTACTCCTTGTTCTGATGAAGTGAGCTGTAGCTCACGAAAGCTCATGCTCAAATAAATTGGTTAGTCTCTAAGGTGCCACAAGTACTCCTTTTCTTTTTGCGAATACAGACTAACACGGCTGTTCCTCTGAAACCACTCCTTGTTCTGTCATCAGCTACCACTGAGAACAGTCTAGATCCATCCTCTTTGGAACGCCCTTTCAGGTAGTTGAAAGCAGCTATCAAATCCCCCCACATTCTTCTCTTCTGCAGACTAAACAATCCCAGTTCCCTCAGCCTCTCCTCATAACTCATGTGTTCCAGACCCCTAATCATTTTTGTTGCCCTCCGCTGGACTCTTTCCAATTTTTCCACATCCTGCTTGTAGTGTGGGGCCCAAAACTGGACACAGTACTCCAGATGAGGCCTCACCAATGTCGAATAGAGGGGGAACGATCACGTCCCTCGATCTGCTGGCAATGCCCCTACTTGTACATCCCAAAATGCCATTGGCCTTCTTGGCAACAAGGGCACACTGTTGACTCATATCCTAGGTCCTTTTCTGCAGAACTGCTGCCAAGCCATTCGGTCCCTAGTCTGTAGCAGTACATGGGATTCTTCTGTCCTAAGTGCAGGACTCTGCACTTGTCCTTGTTGAACCTCATCAGATTTCTTTTGGCCCAATCCTCTAATTTGTCTAGGGCCCTCTGTATCCTATCCCTACCCTCCAGCGTATGTACCTCTCCTCCCAGTTTAGTGTCATCTGCAAACTTGCTGAGAGTGCAATCCACACCATCCTCCAGATCATTTATGAAGATATTGATCAAAACCGGCCCGAGGACCGACCCTTGGGGAACTCCACTTGATACCGGCTGCCAACTAGACATGGAGCCATTGATCACTATCCGTTGAGCCCGAGGATCTAGCCAGCTTTCTATCCACCTTATAGTCCATTCATCCAGCCCATACTTCTTTAACTTGCTGGCAAGAATACTGTGGGAAACCGTGTCAAAAGCTTTGCTAAAGTCAAGGAACAACACATCCACTGCTTTCCCCTCATCCACAGAGCCAGTTATCTCGTCATAGAAGGCAATTAGATTAGTCATGCTTGACTAGTCCTTGGTGAATCCATGCTGACTGTTCCGGATCACTTTCCTCTCCTCTAAGTGCTTCAGAATTGATTCCTTGCGGACCTGTTCCATGATTTTTCCAGGGACTGAGGTGAGGCTGACTGGCCTGTAGTTCCCAGGATCCTCCTTCTGCCCTTTTGTAAAGATGGGCACTACATTAGCCTTTTTCAGGTCGTCCAGGCCTTCCCCTCAATCGCCATGAGTTTTCAAAGGTAATGGCCAATCACTCTGCAATCACATCCGCCAACTCCTTTAGCGCTCTCGGATGCAGCGGGTCCGGCCCCATGGACTTGTGCTCGTCCAGCTTTTCTAAATAGTCCCAAACCACCTCTTTCTCCACAGAGGGCTGGTCACCTCCTCCCCATGCTGTGTTGCCCAAGGCAGTAGTCTGGGAGCTGACCTTGTTCGTGAAGACAGAGGCAAAAAAAGCATTGAGTACATTAGCTTTTTCCACATCGTCTGTCACTAGGTTGCCTTCCTCATTCAGCAAGGGGCCCACACTTTCCTTGACTTTCTTCTTGTTGCTAACATACCTGAAGAAACCCTTCTTGTTACTCTTAACATCTCTTGCTAGCTGCAACTCCAGGTGTTATTTGGCCTTCCTGATTTCACTGCTGCATCCCCGAGCAATATTTTTATACTCTTCCCTGGTCATGTGTCCAAACTTCCACTTCTTGTAAGCTTCTTTTTTGTGTTTAAGATCAGCAAGGATTTCACTGTTAAGCCAAGCTGGTCGCCTGCCATATTTACCATTCTTTCTACACATCGGGATGTTTTGTCCCTGTAACCGCAATAAGGATTCTTTAAAATACAGCCAGCTCTCTTGGACTCCTTTCCCCCTCATGTTATTCTCCCAGGGGATCCTGCCCATCAGTTCCCTGAGGGAGTCAAAGTCTGCTTTTCTGAAGTCCAGGGTCCGTATTCTG